TGTGTCTTAAAAATAAAGGTTCTTTATTGGCACATATGATTCGACGAAGAACCTTTAACATCCATGGAACCTTTTAATTCCCCAAAAGGTTCTTTATAAATGTATAAAATGTTTCTTTTAAGAACTGTTCACTGAGAGGTTCTTAGGGGAACCAAAAATGGTTCTTCTATATGACACTACTGAGAAAACACCCTTTTGGATCTTTTATTTTTAAGAGTGTGTCCTCATTTGAAAACATTTGAATTGTACATATATGCACACAAGCAAAGTCTTAAAATGTGTCTTAAAAGTTTTATTTCAAACAGGATCCCTTCAAAGAACTTTGAGTACAGTTTAGTCGAGTTGAATTTGAGCTGAGACTATCAGAAGGAAAGAAAGAAAGCATATTGTGATGATTAACCGACAGATTTTGTGCTTGGAATTCAAAAACGAATCATTTTAGTTTCTTGGTCCTTTATGTTTAAATGTATTGTGAAAACCCAGAGTAAAATTGTATTGCTCAGGAGACTTGATGGAGATCTCACTCGTGTTTCATGTAGCTTTCAATATATTTCTCCTGAAATTCATTTGTAGAAATAAAAACAGAAATAATAAGAAAGGAATTTGGATAGCTTAGATTACTTGGTCTTGGAGGAATTCAATGAGAAATGTCATATTAAGTGTATCTTCACATTGTTGATCAGATTGCTGAAACATGTAGGAAGAATTCTCAGTTTGCTCTCCATTTAGTTTCATTGCTATAGAGTCTAAGATCAGATATTATAAAGTCTATAAAGTCATGCATATGAAATAATAGATGGAATCTATTTTTTTAAATTAGAACACTTCATTGAACCTGAAGAGAAAATATTTTGAAATATATGTGTATTATTGTTTGTATCATATTTAATAGCTCAGGCTTTCATGGCTCATATTGTACAATATAGTGAGAATATGGAGCTCACACCTGAGGAGGAAAAAAAAAACTCTATTTCATTCAGATATCCAAACTGTCCAAAAATATCCAATTTGGTGCAGATGTTGTTGCAGATAAATTCTTATAGCTTGTAAGTAAATCATGAGATCGTCATAACAGAACTTACATAAAATGCATATAAATGCATATAAATCAGTACACTCTAAAAAATGCTGGGTTAAATATAACCCAGCGCTGGGTTAAAAAGGGACAAACCCAGCTATTGGGTTGTTTTGACCCAGCGGTTGGGTTCAAAACAAATTTTAACCTAAATTTAAATTTAACCCAGCATTTTTTAGAGTGTATCACTCTCTATCTCCCAATAATATGAAAATTATATTTAAATGCTTAGTTTTATGTTCAAAGCTATGTCATTTTTATTGTGGGGGCAAAACATATAATATAACATATAATGCAATGCATTGATGAACAAATAAACGCTCCTCAAAACCCTGATGGATCATATATGATATTCACATTTTAACATGATTTTTCTAAAAAATCAAGTAAACCTACATTGCTTCAGCCCAGTAAGCGTTCATCATGAAATATTACTAACAATATAATTTACCCTTATGCTTACTTTATAAAAATCAGTAAAGATTTCACAGCAAAAAGTGTGTCACAAGCTCAAGGTGGACAGTTTTAAAATGATATAAGGGTTATACTTACACAAAAAAAAAAAGGATAGCTTATCAGTCAGGTGAAAAAAAGCAGGTATTTTAGATTGTGTACAACCGGTTTTCAGCAAAGTTTTGATCATATAGATGCCTTAGAAATGTATCTATCAGATAAGACACACTAGGCTTTATAGGGTCAAATAAGTTTGTCACGTAAGAAAGCACTCCAGTTGAGTTGTTTTATTGCACATTTGTAGAAAAAGATCCTCAAAAATGAAGATAATGATGATGAAAAATGACATGGAGAAAAACAAGACAACAAGTGAGATCTTCGCTGTCAGCCCTGTTACAACAGCACTGGTTAGATCAAGCGAGTGAGTCAGCCATCTTTACTGGCAACACTTTTAATGGTTAAGATCATTTCCATCATCCTGCCAGTCAGTTCCTCCCACCCTCAAGCTTTCATCCAACATATACACTATTGTGATCTTCATATTGTACATTTGAAAGGGAATCCATCAAAACCTCTTTAAATTCATCTGAGAAAGCGAATGAGTGATGGAGAGAAAGAGAGAAAGAGAAACAGCAGCAAATAAGTGCAGTTTGTTCATCCGTGTCTGTAATTTCATCCATCCTAGGCCCTGTAATCATTCACTTCTCTCTCTCTTTGTCTACTGCTATACGGTCCTCCTCCTTCAACATGGTGCATGTGATCTTGGTCTTAAACACAGCTTTTTTCTTGCTTTAGATGTGTTTATGTGTCTGTCTATGAGTAAGAGAGGATGAAAGAGACAGATAAAGGCTGAGAGTGCTGATGAAAAGTGGTCAATCATAGAAATTATGACTCATCTCACGCAATCAGTGTCACATACATGCATGTAAAACTCTTCGCGGATTGATGTACCAGTTGCTCTATGACCATGTTCTGGTTTTGCACAATAAAACAGTGACAAAGAGAATCTGGATCATAATTTCATTGTTTTATGTGTGTCAGTAATCTGTGTGTGTGTGTGTGTGTGACAGTCCAGATGAGTCAATACTGGGGGAGGCAGTCATTGTGGGTTGGATGGGTTTAATTGATCACTATGCCGAAGGAGACAAACTCACTTCCACCCTCCCTCTGCCATCTGTGGGGTCACAGACACAAGCTGATTTTAGCAATGCAATGCACTGACTTGTTCCATAACCCCCCCCACAGCAATTCGGCATTGGACAGTTGACTAAACAAACTGGCTGAACAAATTGAACTGTCCTGTTCTGTATTTTCTAATTGGCAGGATTTCACATGAACAGTTGCTGTCAGTGAGCTGAACTCAGATGCTGCAACAATCTGTTTGAGGGATCAAGAGATTCTCGTAATGTTACGTCGTCACCTAGTGGCCATTAAATGTGATTGCATGAGTCAATACTGCCTGCCTACGGAAAAAAAAAATAAAAAATAAAATAAAATAATATATAATATATCAAGGCAATAATGTAGGTTATGATAATGGTTATTTGTATTTTTTATTCATTTTTTTTTTAACCAATATGCCAGAATAATGATTTGATAGTAATATTTTAATTAGTCAATTTTTGTTATTTCATTTCATTTTTATTTTGTGTTTTATAATTATTTTATTATTAAATACGACTGAATTACCACTAAAGCGCATATACTGCATTTTAACTGCACATGGATTATGTGATGTGGATTAATGCGTTTTGAACTTTGGTATTTCATATTTTATAAATTATGTTGTTCTTAATTTTAAAAAAGTTGTTTTTTAAAAAAAAAAAAAATTATTTTCCTTTTTTGACAGCTTGTGTTAAATAAAATGTTTTATTTCTTGGACAATAACAGTGGAAATGTTGGCACTTTTTGTTGCCAAATATTCACTGCAATGATGTGGATAAATGGAGTGATGCGAGTGTGAAACTGTGACAGCTAGCAGTCTTCTGGAAGAAAGCTGACAACAAAATGACTAGAAAATGTCACAAGCACAGTTCCTTTAGGAATGTGTACAGTGCACTGTATTGAACAACTGCGAAAGATTAGAGGTATGTCCATATGTCAGTCACTATGTTGTGAATAGAGTGTCTCTGTATCAAAGAGAGGGAATCAAACAAACTATTATAGAGCAAATCACTGTGATTGAATCTGCCTTCAGGATGCAATTTCTGCACCATGTGGAGACTGGACATGAGAGATGCTGTGACGTCATCATACTCAAAGAAAACCACCTGACCCACTGAATTCTTCAAGTGATGTAAATATTGACACTAATCCTTTTAATATATAATAATTAAAAACTGAAATGCAAATGTTATGAATCTGAGTGAGTGATGACATCATTACAGAATGCTACAGTCTGCTTTCTGGATTGGTTGGCATGGAGACAAAAGTGGCCATATGGGCAGGTTCATTTAAATTAATTATTTCTTTTCTATTTCAGTTTATCAAGAATGTTGAGCATTGTTTAGTATTTCTAAATAAATAAGAAAACACTGCATTTTTCATTGGCTGTTTTATTTCTAGGTACAGACCCTTATTTTTAGATAAGACAGATGCTTTTTATACGTTTTTTTAATTAAACATTTTTTTTATTACCATTGCATGAGGAATTTATCTGATGTATTTCGTATTTACTTGCATGAAGTTTAATTTGTTGACTAAACCTTTTAACAAAAGACAGCTGCCAGTAATTGATCATTTTAAGGCAAAACATTTTCACATTTTCTGTGTATTTATAATATTAATTTATTATTTATAGCCTACTTATAATACATATATACTATATGTATATTTAAATACCGTAAACTCCCTTTGTGATTTTAAAACATAAGACAGTATCCAGATTTGAAAACTACAGTAAGATTTAACTTCTGCTGTTAATAAGATTTTGGTGGGCTACTATTAGATGGATTGCCTAAATGTCCTAATTCAGATGGGCTACCTGTTTTTTTTTTTTAATGGTATATCAAAAAGTGTATATTTTTTAAATGTGATTGTTGGTACATTTTACCAGTTTTTACCATACTTTCAAAACAAAAATTAAAATAGGAAAAATATGCAATATGAAAATAATTGAAGACAAAATGTGTTTTACTGAGAAAAAACAAGATTTGTTTTTTAAAAAGCCTTTTTCCAAAAGGTACATCTGGAAAAAGGGGGGGTCGTCTTATAATCAGGGTCGTCTTATATTCGGGCCAATACGGGTAAATACATAAATATATATATATATATAATTTCTCAAATTTTGTGTCAATATATTTGTTAAATGTGTCAATATATTTAATATTATTTTGTTATTTTGATATTTTATATTGTTGTTTATTAGTTTTTTGTTATTATAAAAAAATATTACCATTACTTTTTTTATTTAATTTTAATCACTATTTTAAATTTAGTTTAATGTTTCATAGAACAATAAGGGCTTTTATTTTGAAAAAACACGGACAAGCCGGAAGTTGGAAGAGTGTCTGCAGCATATACCGGTGTGTTATTGTCTCGATTGTTGGTCTAATAAGTCTAATTTTAGTTTTAGTTATTAACTTTGAAATAAGATATTTACTTTTGTTATTTCATTGTCAGGTTTGTGACCAGCAGCGATGAGGACTGTGCTTATGGTGGCTGAGAAACCCTCTCTGGCTCAGTCCATTGCCAAAATCCTCTCTAAAGGTGAATATGTATAAAAGATTGAGTGTTTGAAAAAGTACATATATTGCATATAATTACAGGTCCGCCAATTATAAATAGGGGAGGAGTTGATTTGGTTTTCCAGTTTTTTCAAATGAAATACCACGCTTGATGTCCTTTTGGGTCTTGTTTGACATTCTGTCAGGCTGCAGGACTTTTCAAATAAGCAGGAAAAAAGTTACAGGGTGTTTTTTTTTTCTTTCTTTCTTTTTTTTTTTTACATGTCGACTATTTTAAAAGAAATAACAGTCTTACATTTTGAATTCATTTGTTTCTTGAATGAGAGAAAGAAGTTTTTGTTACATAACTAGTTTATTCAATCACATTTACAAGCATTCAGCAACTCAAGACATCTATATTGTAGTATGCATTGTGGTGTTGTTTGTTTAAGATGATAAGCATTATTATTCAGTAGACTTCTTTGTGGTTGACATTAAATTTAAGTGACACTATTATAATAATAGTTGAAGTTGAATCAAGTGCATGAATTGTTAGACCCAGCGCTAATTCTGTCTGGATGTAGCACATATACAGGCAATGTTCACATCCTCGAATTCCAGTGCGTAAGTTGGGCATCTTGGGTTTTTTCTGAGAAATGGCATTTTGATTGCAATGGGGATGCTCTCCAGACTGAAAGAGCTGTCGACCCCCTTACAGGAATGACTGTTCAGGCAGTTTGCTTCATAGATGATCTGTGGCACACGGTCCAGGTCAATGTTCTCCCTGTTATTGGTGCAGAAAAAAAATAAAAAATATTCAGATGTATTCAGAATTTGATGGTCTATAATTGTCCTAATTGGCATCAAAACATCTTTCAGATAGGACTGTCAAATTCTAAATCGTTACAAAATTTAATAAGAAAATGGTTGGATGTATCCTGTATAAAATGGACCTGTAGTATACCTTCTCTTTTACTGGCTGTAAATCCATATTTTAAAAAGGCTTACAAATCTGCTGTACTCACTCGTAGCTCCATGCAGCGACGCTGCGCTCGTTGATTCTGCTGGGCAGGTTGATGAGCTGTGTGTGGTACTCTTTCAGCGTGGAGGAGCAGTAGGTGTGCTCCACACACTGGGCCATGATCGGACTGCACTGGCTGGGGTTCAAGACCAGCAGAAAAATGCTCAGGAGTCCTAGAATCTGAGCGAGAGAATGAGAAGTAGGCAACAAACCATCATTACGTATTATGTGGGCTTCTTTGTGTTTGGTGTTCTTTGGACGATGGATGTAAACTAATAATATCATGCTCATCTTCAGTCTTTTTTGTTGTGGACACCTTCATGGATTGTGTTCAATCTGAAGCTAATGGCAAAATATAGCGCCTACATTCACATTCACAATTGGCATCATTCAAGCTAAAGAATAATTATAGATTCAGTGTGTCCCTTAGACTATATTAAATGCATCAGTAATGAACAATGAATAAATGTAGTTTACTAAAATTTTGTCCTGGGCTCTCAGTTATAGTAATTTGAGGTTTGCATCTCTGACAGTTTTTTTTTTTTTTAAACAAATTTCTAATAAATACTAAAAACAGATTTTATCCTAAACTGTCGGCTAACTTTCAGGTTCGGATCCCCATCCGTTTTAGTTTAGTTCATTTTTAGTTTAGCAATCAGCCAGGACACTTTTGGTCAATTTAATTTTCATAATTTCTAAATTTTTGATTTTTTTTTTGGTGAATTTTGGGTAAATATTGAATAAAATTTAATGTCAGCAATTTTGTTAACTTATAATTTAACGTCATTAGAGTCCAATGTGTGTGTGTGTGTGTATATATATATATATATATATATATATATATATATATATACTTAAATATGCACACTACCTTTCAAAAATTTGGGGTCTTTTTTTTTTTTTTAAGAAATTCATACTTTCTACTCATTTTCTTTTCATACAAGGAATCATTAAATTGATCAAAAGTGACAGTAAAGACTTTTGTCGTGTTCCAAAAATATATGTATATTAGATAAATGCTGTACCTTTGAACATTTTATGCATCAGAGAATCATGAAAAAAATCAAATGCATGATGGTTTTCGCAAAAATACTAAGCACAGTTGTTTTCAACATTGATGATAATCAGAAATATTTCTTGAGCAGCGAATCTATATTAGAATGATTTCTGAAGGATCATGTGACACTGAAGACTGGAGTAATGATGCTGAAAATTCAGCTTTGCATCACAGGAATAAATGACATTTAAAATATATAAAAATAGAAAACAGTTATTTTAAATTGTAATAATATTTAGCAATTTTACTGTTTTTAATGCATTTTTGATCAAATAAATGCAGCCTAGATGAGCATAAGAGACTTCTTTAAAAA